ACCGATCATCACGAAATTTTGTACACACATTGTCAAGGGTACAGAAAAGGACTTAGGGTAATTTTTATTCAGAAAAAAAGACTGTTCCCGAAGGATAGAAAATTTTCATTTTATCTCGATAAAGAAGGACAGTATTTACTGTCGTGCTAAACAAAGTTTGATCCACAAAATTAGAAACGTTAGTTTTATCCTGATTATCTTGGTCAGGAATTAAGAACAAATTTATAATATTATTTTATTTTGGATGGTCTTTAACACGTAATTAGGACATCAACGCGAGCGAAGCTGCGAGTAAAAGCTTGTATATCATAAAAAAAGGGGGAATCTTGCACCATTCAGGTGTGTTATGTACTTTAAAGTAATTTATAATTAATACCAGTAGAAAGCACCTTTTAGACTAACTTTACAGGAAATATTGCAATAATGTGTACGTAATATTTTTTTTTTCTGATGTACCTGCAGTATGGTGAAGTTTTCCAGCACACTATTCATCATGTATTTTTCAGGCAGGTGTTTCAGTTTATTGATAAAGTTGATCATATACTCGCACATGGGACTGCGGTGTATCCTGTACACGAACCGTCCGTTTTCATAGCGCGCATATTCTGTCTCAACTTTTTCCACAACTTGCTTACCAAAGGAACAAACTTTGGTCGAACACGTTATTGTCATATTTTCATTACTTTCATATCTAAAAAGAAAGATATTTACTCACTAAGAAACAGTAGCAAAAAAAAAATAATTAAGGGGAACGATTAAGTAGGTACTTACTGGCTTGTAACACCGTAGAAAGCCCCTGTTTCGTCTTGAATGTTCGTATTAAGGTCAGCCCAAAATTTAACTAAGAAGAATGCAGATTGTGGTCCTTTATCGTACAACTCTTTGAGGCCGCCTTTCTTCTCAGGGAACTTATCGTAAATTTGTCGAACATCTACGGCCTAAAAAGAAAATCAGTCATTCTTAGAAATTAAAAAAAAAACAGTGAAAAAGAAAAAAAAGAAGTGTTGCAGGTGCGGTATTATAGTCCTATAGAAGTAAAATGGAAAAGGAGAGACAGTGAAGCAGAAACAAGAGTAAAGAGTGGCCAAAGAAGACCTACCTGGATTACTTTTAATGATGTGTGATGTTGTCGTTTTGGAAATGTAAAGTAATTTTAGAAAAAATATCTTACCTCTAATAAGGGATCAGCGTACGTTGTCGTACCTCCTATGTGTACAAACAGGTGTTTGTGGTACTGAAACAATTAAATAAAATTAAATAAATAACTAGGAAACAATAAAGGGTATAATCTTTTTTACCGTGTTATCTGAATCCCGGTGTTGTTCCATAAACGCAGAAAATTCGACAAGCCTTAATTTTTGCGTTGCTATGGCCCGACCTTCCCAAGGAGGTGGAGGTGGTGGTTGAAGAGGTCCGACTTCACCTGCCGAAACCGCCGTGGCAGGTTTTCCAGGATATGCTGGTTGTTGAAACGGTTTAACACTGGAACAATAAGGAAACCCAAACTTAAAGAAAACCCTTTTTTCGAGACTATAAAAAACTAAAAAACTAAATAGACTAATAAAAAAAACGCATTTCAACGCCCAGGTTTTCAACTGAGGATGACAATAACAATGACAATTTGGTTAGAGAGTTGTTTTTATGATTTAGAATTATCAGAACAGCATTTGATTTTATTTTGTTTAAATAAAAATAAGTAGAAATAAACTTACTCTTGTGATGTTCCGGGTTGAAGGCCAGGTTGCCAGAACTGCTGCAAAAAGAAGGCAAATCATGTTATTTTATGTAGAAATTACTTCAGAAATATTGCACGACACTGTTTAAGGGATGCGCAATACCTACACATAGAGCTTTAAGTTCAAATAATGTCTGTATGTATGTATCTATAATATACAATATGTGTATGTAGCAAAGTAATTAATGGTATTAATAAATGGCCTACAATACACAGCAAGTAAGCTTTGTTATTTATTTAATTGCTTTATTAAATGAAGGAACAATATAAGATTCGCAGCAAAATCATTATTAGAACTTTCCTTGGCAAAGGGTTCTCAAGGATTCGTAGGGAAAAGTGGATGTGAAAAAAATACTGCTTAATAAAAAAAAATATTACTTACAAAGATAAACACACGCCATGGCTTTTGACGATAATGCAAAATAAAAACAGCAAAAGGGGTTTCGACACACAGCTAATTTCCAATCTTTTATAGCACTCATTATGAATAAGAAAGTATACTTTGTTCTTTGTTTTTAACCCCCGACACACAAGTGGGGTGTTATATGTTTAACGTGTGTCTGTGGCATCGTAGTTCCTAAACGAATGAACCGATTTTGATTTAATTCTTTTTGTTTGATAGGTGACTTGATCGAGAGTATTTTTAGCTATTATTCATTACAATTAATGTCGGGGGTTTTATAAATTTTTAATTTAAGGTTCTGAAAAAGTATAGTCAGGGCAAACATTTTTTAATCGACGAGTGAATAGGCACACAGAAGCAGAATATTAATCGCAACAAAATATTTAAACTATAAATTATTTTAAATTTAATAAGAAAAGCTCAAAAATGACTTCAGGCCATGGACAGTTTTTCAAAATTACACAGTAGTAACCGTGACTGTAATACAATCTGACAGTAGAGTTCCCATCCTAATAATAGTTAACGAAAAATATGCTATGTATTAAGTAATATTTTCTTTTATTTATACGCATTAAAAGTACAATAATGAAATTCCTGTTATTTACAAAAAAAAATCCAAAAGAAACCTTTGCTAAGTACGAAATATGTGTATGATACTAAAAATCAAATGCATTTTAACTAATGATTGATTCGCTTCGACTTGTAACACAGTTTAATTCTGATAAAAAAATAAATGAAAAACTCGATGACGATGAGGGGTTTCGATAGAAAAAAAAGATTTGCATAGTAGTTGCGGTAGTAGTAGTAGTAATAATAGTAGTTGTAGTAGTGACGGTAAGCGGGAACAATGACAGGACTGACTTACCGCTCCAGGATAGGATGCGGGAGGAGATAAACCTAGACCAAGACCTGGCGACTTGCTGTGCATTGTGGTTGCAGAAACGATCTGCGCACTTGACATGCTTGACATAGTTTGCAGCGCCTTCTCCTTGGCCGCATGGTCCTAACAAACCACATACCATCACCAAAAAATCGCCCAAACTAACAATTTTATTACAGCTAATGGTACGTAGACGTTGGCAAAACTCAATCAATACGTACCATTAACCCGGTCTCGCGATTCCGTATCTATTTCTACTGATTTTTTTTGACATGATTCCCAAAATAAAGTCATATTTCTATTTGTACTTTAGTTCATTTATCATTACGTTTAAATTAAGAAATACAGTATTAAACATCCAAATGTTTATACTAATTTGTTTAAAAACTTAAAACCAAAGGTTTCACTGTCGTTCACAAAAGCCAAATAAAAGGATTGAGACTTTTGACCAAATTATTGACGATAAGTGTTAATTCAATTAACTAAAATCTTATTTGCCTTAACTTTTAATTGTTTTATTGTGCTTTCTTCTCCATATAGGTTTCATTTGACCAAAACTGAGCCTGTGATGTTTTGTACAGAGATTTTCAAAGTTTATTAATATTTTTTAAACATTTATCAATAAATTTTTATTTAGACATTCTTAAAATTTATGTTTAAATAAACTAGGCTTTGGAACACCTTGTATAGGTATATTTCTTGCAAGATGTAATGCTAATGATAGAGATAATACCTACATGGGAGATTCCAAATTCAAATAACTCATTGGATTCTAATAATATCTTGCATCATTACTAATTCGATCCAAATAATGTTCTCTTTGATGTGCAATGGATAAAATTAATTGAATATAAACAATGTTTCGCCAAAGAAGAGGCCAAAAGATTTAAGTCAATTCACTTAAGCTCAAAGTCAGACAGCCAACTTTGAACCAACATATCAACAAAACACTTGAATAGAATCAAGCCAATAGTTCACCAATTGACACCGCACACATTGCTATCATCTATGTGGAAGGCCAGGTCATAGTGGTTAGAGCAACTTTTAAACGTAGGCGTTCCATTGTTTACATTCAATTAATTGTCAATTACGCATAAATAAAGCATTGTATTTTGATCGATTTGATATCCTTTAATGATAGCTATGATAGAAACCAATGGGACATTTGACTTTGTAATCTTCTAAAATCTCTATCTGTATTGATCAAAATCGAAAAAATATATTCATAAATGAATCCTATTGACAACATCCTAGGAAACTTGAAAAATGCTACCACCTGACTGACAAATTAAATGCATAGAAAAGTAAAAATTAATTGTGGTGTCCATTCGCTGCATTATTTTAATACGAATTTAAAAAAATAGTTATTAGGCAATGATAAATGATCTAAATACAAACTATATATTGTTTGGATGATATTTAGATACAATCAAAAAAGCTATTGATAGTTAAATCACTTCTGGAAGTTTCGATACAGTTCATGCAATATCCAACTTATAAGAAAATATATTTATTGGTTGTTACTTCGTTCAAATTAATTTAAAAGTATTTTGAAACTATCTTTGAACTATACTATCACACCGTTTTGTAATTAGAACATTTGGTTAACTGAAGTCCAAAAAAATCAATATAATAGATAGGGAATTGATCTTACCATTAGTATGGTGTAAAAATGAAGATCTTAGCGGCAATATGAGTGAACACACACCATTAATGGCGAAAATGTTAGCCATCAAAAGCGTTATATAAAGTGCTAATATATCGACTGACAGTTATTCGTTTTTCTCATTGGGACAATTTCACAAAATTTTACTGACCGACGGTGGTAATCAGATAGGAGACAGACGAATGAAAATTGGCACAAATTAAATACAACTACAGGAAGTAGAGGTACCTATCCTATGCTTATTTCAAAAATTACCTTCATTTTAAATTATCTACTAATTATCTAATTTAGAGAGGTGTATAATTGCAACGATAATTAAAAAGAACTATTAATACAGTCTATGACAACTACTATGTTTAAAGGGGGTTTAATGGGTCTTCCATTTTAATAAAGTGCGATATACTTCTCAACGTTACTTAATTAACCCTGTGCTATCATTAGGAATCAGATTATTAATAAAGTTCGAAGAATACTACAATCAATGTGACCCTAATAAATTCACGTTCATCTGCTTGCTTGTTGCCAATGACTAGCGTTTGATAAATTACTACAAACACTGTTATGAACGCCATCTGCAGAAAATTTTCAATAGTCTAGGAAATCCAACAAGATCGAAGTTGCGATCCACTTCTAACGATTTCAACAGAGTATCAACCACCACAGACTTTTTGCTTTGTTTGGTTACGTGTATTCTACATAGGGGTAGCTGCACCGTGAATTTAGTTCGACAAATCATACCTTATAGAACTTCAGAATTTTGAATCTCAGAAAATGTAGCATTTTTTTTTTATAGGTGGCGTTGACTATGCTATTTGTAGTAATTCAGTCTTACAGGAATTTATGAAAGTAGCATTGGTATACAGTAAAAAATCTTTATTCGCGGGGTATACGTTCCATAAATATGTCGTGAATACAGAAACCGTTGATATGGAATGGTAATTAGTATGGAATGACAGGGGATACGTTCTAAGGTTCCAAAATAAAACCAATATGTATTAAAATAAAATCAGCTTTATGTAAGTGTTTAAAAAATTTAGTGATTTTTTTCTTGTTTTGAATTTTGAAATTAGTCCACTCCGTCACATTTTTGATGCTGATCCGTTAAAAAAGAACACCGATACATTAAGGGGATTCAGTAGTACACGCGCCGTAGAGTAAAAACATGCTTATCGGTTCTAGATATCATGAGTTTAACGTTTGGAACAGAGGTCTGAAATTTTGTAGTAAGTTAGATAAAGCTTTGTTCTAAAGCCTGTCGAAGGCCATTTTTAAATTTTTTAATTTCTATTGAAAATATTTGTCCTACAAGAGGCATCAACTTTAAGCACTTGTAAAAGCTTTTAATGACCATATTATTGAAAACGTACCGAGTTAGTGTGAACCTTTGTCTGTTCTATACAAGAAGTTAGATATTTATCTCGCAGCGTTAAATCACAATGTTTAGGTTAGAAACTCATGTTTTCGGAAAAATTCACACTAGACACGTGCGGTCTATTGCGGTCAATCCCCTTAATAAATGACACCGAAAACTGTTACGTTTACCGATTGCAACGGCGAATAATGAAATTTTTAACCGCGAATGCAGGAACTGGGTTGCAATTTTTTCACCCGCGAATAAGGAAACCGTGAATAAGGAACTTTTACTGTACGTACTAACCGGATATATAACTTCTACAATTTTAATTTAAACTGAATCTTACCATTTTCAAATGAGTTAATAAGATTTAATCCCAAATTATTTAGTTAAGAAATACAGTTGAGCAATATATCAAACTTTATCAAAACCTAAACCTAATAGAAATCCCTTAAACCAAAAGTAGTTTTTTAATCTACGAAGTTAGAGTAGAGCAAGTATAGATACTAAAAATATTTCTATTGTTACCACCCAAAGCACATTATCTTTATATTTGGATTTTATTACGGAAATTATTAAAGAAAATAGTCAACCTTTTGTACTAAATAATAATATTGTTATTATTGGATCGCAAAAATGCTTTAAAAAAGACATTAAATGTACATCTACTTTTGGATAGAATTTCTACGAATTATTAGGTCTACCTTCGTTTAAAATGTTCAATAATTATAAGAAACACTTACCACTTTTAATTTTGCCTGGATTTCGCGCAATTTTCGCCTTGCGAGTACCTGAATGTGTGAACTAACTTGTTTTCGTGTGCGCGTTTTCCCAGTTCGAAGTTTGATGTAGCGGGCGATAAGTTCATTCCTTCCTGTAACAAAAGAAAAACGAAATAGTTGCAGTCTTCAACATTATTTAGATCCTTCTTAGAATTTACGCAGCCAATTAGCAAATATAGAAATCTCATCCATAGAATTCTTTGCATCTTTTTTTATTCCATCCCAGTTTCAAATTTCGCAATTTTTTGATTGTAAAGTTAGTTGGAAGATGCAGTTGTTCAAAATAGATACAATACAATTAGAAATGAAAAAAAAAAAAATTGGGTTAATTACAACTATTCATAACTCGATATTCAAGTAGCTTAGTGGCCAGAACACTGGTGCATAAACCAGACACCCGGGTTCGATTCCCGGTGAGGGTGTGACAGCAGTAACAAATTTTTTCTCATTATCTTGATGTAATGTTATTTAACATCCATAAATTCACTTTTTGAAGTGAAACTTCTTTACGCACGGTAGGGTAAGTTCGTTTCATGCGAGTTGCTATTTCCCCCGCAGTCTGTCCCTATGTGTGCTTAGATCTTTAAATCTGCGCAACGGATTTTAATGCGTTTTTTTTTAATAGATAGAGTAATTCAAAAGGATGGTTTATATGTATACTACATGCATAATATAGTAGAGAAACACTGATAATTTTAGAGGTTTGTAATGTGATGTCGTAAATAAACACATTTTTTTGCGCTTACATTGCAAACGCTGGCTGAACCCTACGAGATAGATCAAAATAATATACTGCAGTATTGTACACCTTAAAAAGGTCTACAAAAAAGTCCG